GTTAAACTTTGACAGAATCATTGAGGCTGGAAGGAACCTTCTGAGATCATCTAGTCCACCCCCCCTGCTCAAACTGGGTTGGTTAGACCAGATAGCCCAGGACCACATCCAGTCAGGTTTTGAATATCTCCCAGGATGGAAATTCCACAACCTCTCTGGGCAACCTGCGCCCTCATCTTTCCTCCTGTTGAAATTCCAAATCATTACAGCTCTTAACTCAGTAAAACTTCTGCAGCTAGTAGGTAAAACAAGCCAGACAAATAAGAGGAAAAAAAAACCTCCCACTCTTCTGCCTTGCCCCTTCCCTTGCAAAAAAGCGTGAGAAAAAAGTAGAAGTCACACCTTTGTTGAGGTTGAAACAGCTTTTTCTCATTTCTTCATATTTCTTTTTCTTCTAATATTCTTGTTTCCTTGCCTTTTCTGAATCTTTCTGGAAATGATTGCACTTTGCACTAGGCACTGCTGCCGTACTGTACCTGGCAGTAGTATGCCAGATGCTGCCAGTATTGCCGTGTCTCTGCCATACTGTATCTGGTCCAGGCAAAAGCACCGTTACTGAAAAAAAATCAGAAAAGGGAAGGACATAGAATACTTGATGAAGAGCTCCATCATATTTTTTCAGATTCAAAGGCTTCAAATCACCACCAGAAATCGCGGATTGTTTCCAGTCTTGCAGTCGTAGGAAGCATATCTCTTGCTGGCAGAGTATCTTTCCTGTTGTGCTTCTGCATGCTTCTGGTTTTTAATGTGGAGATTAAACGTTCTGTCACTTCCAAGCTGTTCGGGAGGCGACATTTTCTAATTTTGTTTTGGAGTCTGAAAACGTGGCATTGGAGCCAGTCTGTTGAAAACATCAAAGCACAAAAGAAAAATTTGTGCGGTGACATCATATTAACAGCAGCATTTGTGTCTTACTTTGGACCCTTCACAAAACAGTATCGCTAGGGACTGATGGAACATTTCTGGATTCCTTTTCTAAAGTCACAAAAGGTAAAATTTGCTGTACAAAATGGGAGTCTCCAGTGAAGAGTCTGGTTTGTTAAAGTTGCTGTCTTTCAAAATTTGAAGTGCAGATTTGTATTTAAAAGTGGCTATAAAATACTCTTTGCAGGTATTTTTCCAGTATATATATGTGTGTGTATATGTGTATACACACACACACGCACACTTTCCTCAGATTACAGGTACATTTTGAGGGGAATGGGAGAGAGAGATTAAGTTCTCTGGCAAAAGAAAATCCCTTCCCTTTCCAATTCTCAATGCCAAATTCTGTCTTTTGTGACACCTGTGTAACAACAAAAGCTATAAATAGTGATAGAGCTGTATAGAGAGCTATTCTGCTTAGCTTTTCAGCTCCAGGAAGAGCACATAGTTATGATAATCCCCATTTCTCTGTACAAGGCGGAAACCATGACAGTACTTAATAAATGCATGGAGGCTCTAATGCTTGGAGTTGTCTCTGCAAAGCTTTCTCCATCCTTCCTGGTGAAGCTTTGGACCATTCCTTTCTTCCTTACTGCTGCAAATGCTCTTCACCTCTTCCTACTTGTTTCCTATTTCTCTTGTGCCACAAATCACAGCATTGTATCACAATTAATGTAGTTTATTCTCTGAAATATGTGACATGTGGAATTCTTACCCCATTTTAAATCACAAAGCTAAGGCACAGCGGGCGAGCTGAGTTGCCTGATGACACTCTGGAAATACAGTTAAAGCCAAATCCAGACTTTCCATGGTCAGCACTCAGAACTGCGGGGGCATCTTTCTGTAGACATTTGCTTTGTGTGAGAATTTAAGAGTCATTGATTTGTGTGGAGCTTTGTTTTGCCTGAAACATATCCCTGTCCTTTTCCACCAAAAATTTGTCTGCAGATGAAGTTCTTTCTCAAAAACCTCCTTCTACCTTGCAGCCTAATGCTGACAGGTAGAAAAAATTACCCCTGTATATTTGTTTTAAATAGTGGGACCCTGGAAATAAGTGTCATTCTTAACTCTTTTAAGAATCCTCTGAAATGGATTGAACATTTTTATAAATAAAAATAATCCATATTGTAATTTTTTACTTTTTAAGATGCTTTCACTGAACAGCAGTGAGATAAAGTACCTCATTTCAGTTTTGATTGCTTTCCTGCAAGTGGGGAAGAGTAGAAAAGAGGAGAGAAATGCATTTGGGAAGTGATGTTAAAAATAGATGTTTATTAATAGTCCTCTTTAGAAGGAACCATAAGTAGTTCTATGCCATGAAGTATCAGTTTTGTGCAGATACGGGGATAATAGATGTATCTATATATTAAAATATTTTTCTTGCATTGTGTGAAAATTTGTATTAGAAACCCTGATAATACCCCAACGCTAGTGTTTTCCACAAGGAAGTATTTCAGCTCATGGAAATGACTGTATTGCTTGCCTTACAGTCCAGAGATAAAACAAATCATATTTTCAGTCTTCTGGTGTATTTAGATGAATGTGTTACACACAGGAGATAAATACGTTGCATGCTTGCAGAGGGGAGCGTATGCCTGTTGGTCTTTTTGTGCTTGTATTTTCAGCAAGTTCCTCAAAAGTTAGGTTTATTTTGGGCTCTGTGGTTAGAATTGGGGGTTAGACAATTTTCAGGTGGTATGTATTTTGTAATAATATGGTAACTATGACGTGCTGCAGAAACTGCACTAGACATATGGTGCCATTCTTATTAATCCTAATAATTGTGCAAATTTGGCTCAACTTAAATATATGTAATGGTTTTCTTTATAAATAACCACCAGATTTACGTGCTTTTTTATTTCAGTGTGCACTTTTAAAAGAATGTCCAGTCTGCAAGCCAGTACTAAGGACTATACATGTCTAGGGAGGAGGAAAATTTTGATGGAAGCGTTTTTAAAACACTTCTGAATGGTGTAGAAGACAGTGCGGTCTAAATACTGATGATGCTGTGCTTTCCTTTAATTTATGGGTTTAGAATTCAATCCAGAAATCACAAATAAGGAGGCCTGGGATAACATCATGAAGGAATCGGTGGGGGTTTGCCCTTTGCTTCAGTAAGGAAAAATTTAATTCCAGGCATCTGGTATATATCTTCTTTTATGCTTCCACCAGCTGCCTTTTTTTTTTTTTTTCCCCCAAATAACTTAGTTATTCACTCTCTCTTACTCTGTTGTGTTGCGTTAGGCATTTCTCTTCCCACCCATACCCGTTCGGTAAGCACTGATTTCAGATGTTCCATTTCTTTTTGTTTTCATCTCCTTGTAAATGCCTGCGACAAGGTAGTATCCAGCAAGCGTGGCTGGCCAACGGCTGCTCTAGTGTACGTGGAGATGGCAGCTTCCTTCTTAGTGAACGGGCACTCACACAAGCACATTGCCGCAGCTGGTGCCACGCACGGAGCTCCACGGCTGCCTCTGCCCCTGGAGATGGTCCCATTCTCTGGCTCTTGACCTTGTTAATATATAGCTGAACTATATTAATAAGATACCATGGGAATCTTGTTTTTGTAATTTTTGTGTAGATAAATACTGATTTATGGTCCAGAAATACATGCTCAAGAGCATACGTGAGCATTGAATTTGCAATATCAGAATCTGTATACAATAAAATTTATAATATATGGTGTTTATTTAACTCTATCAAACTATATTTTATGAAGTAAATGTCTTAAATGAAAACATTTTTTTTTAAATCTGTTATATAATAAGCTGCTTCTCGTCCCATTTCCTAGTATAGACTTTTGCATCTGAGACTCCACAGGGATCCTCCTTACTTTTCTGCCTAGAAAGCCTTAATTTATATCACCCCAGTTATCTTGTGCGTTGCACTGAGTCATGTCTTGCTGCTTGGTAACCTTGCTGGATGATTATATTCCACTCTGATTCAAAGGTTCCTACTCCTGTGGCGGAGGGCCTGGACCCGATTGCCACGTTGACGGATGATGCTACGATGGCAGCATGGAGTAACGAGGGACTGCCTGGTGATAGGATGTCAACAGAAAATGCCACTATTCTAACAAACTGCGAGCGCTGGCTTCTGATGATAAAACCCCAGCAACAGGGAATTAAATGGATAAAGAATAAATATGGAGCTGACCTTAAAGTCATACATCTAGGACAGAAAGGGTATGTGCATGCTGAAGAATTGGCTTTCATGTTTACTGCCCTGAAGTTCCCCTAATTTTTGTAAGGAATTGGTGTTTGTTGGAATGCACTTACTTGAAGACTTGAAATATTACATCACTACTGCTTATTTATCCATAGCATCATTTTCCATTTAAAATAGTGCTTGAAAGAGGACCTTTTTTACGCTATATTCAAGTGTTGAGGAGGAAATGAAGTGGAAGTTGAGGTGCCCTTCTTGTGAGGGGCAAATCACTTTTTCAATAGGTAAGGTGCAAATCCTGATGATATGACGTTGCTTATACTGTACAGTTTAGTCAGCAGAACACAGCACGTGCACCTTACAGAGGGAAAGATTCAAGCTAGTGTATGGCATTCAAGGCAAAAGCCGGTTATCAAGTCTTTTGCTGAGAAACATGTTTTTAATTGTCGTTACTATTACTGAATTATATGTAAGTTGATAGCACTTGCATGTAATTGATCTACTCATATTTTTTCTCATGATTACTTTGATTTAGGGAGACAACTAGGTAAGATTTAACTGCTCCATTTCAAAGGGCTGAGTTTATTTTACTGAATTCCAGATACAACACACAATTACACAGCGCAGTAAATGGTCACAGTAATGCCTCATTTTTAAATGAATTGTTAATCGTTTATCTGGTCTGCTCCTCTGAACAAACTCTTTTCCCTCACTTGCCCTGAATTTTTTTTAATTCTTTTTCCAACCCTCACAAATAATTGTGATTTTCATTCGTACCCTGCAGTACCCTTCTGCATGAAGCTATATTGTCTCCTTACTTATCTTTCCACAATTATCTACTCTCTTCTCAGTGCCTGTTAAAACAGTACTTCCAAGTCATTCAGATGCAATGCCTTCAAGAAAGCATTTATAGTGTAGAAGAGTAGTGTAGCATTTATAGTGTATAGAGTATATACCAAAAGCTATAACACAAAACCATAGAATTAAAAAAGTAACAAAAGCTAGAAGATACATGTGCCCCCCCAACTTCTCTATGTCAATTCCAGTGTCTTCAATGTGGGGCTATATCCTCATATTTGCTTATAAGAAAAGCCCCAGCAATATATTTTTTGTTTAGTATGAGGACTAGCAAAAGCATAGGTGTAAAGATGTTGAACTCAAAACTGTCGAGCTCTTAACCACTGGGAAATTCTTTGTGAACGGTTTTGCGTGGTTTAGCCATGATCTTTTAGAAAAACTTCTCCAATTCTATTAAGGAAAGAAATCTTCGATGAGCAGCATTTATCTAATATTTGAGGGTTTGTGTTTTTATTTTTCATGTTAGGTTTTCTGAAGACCATTGAAAGAGCTTTGGCTTGCGGAGAGATTGTACAAATTGAAAACGTGGGTGAATCTATTGATCCCATACTTGATCCCCTGCTTGGAAGACACGCAGTTAAAAAGGGAAAGTAAGTATACTTCAGTAATCAGAATTTTTCCATGACAACTGGATCTATATTGCTTTGATTGCCACATTTTGCTTACTACTTCATAACTCTTCATTAAGTTATTTCTTTCTTTTTAAAATGCAGTGGCTAAAAACTGGTGATGAGTGGATATTAAAATGTTAGTATCTGCATCTGATCAGATAACAAAATTCTCTTCTCAATTCACAAATTGGACTCAAAATACAATATGCGTGCAAGTTTCTCAATCCAAAGTGAAAATCTTTACTTCTTTTACTTCAAAAAAGGCACAAAACAAGGAGGAGCATATATTATAATTTGGCTCAAAAGAAAAGAAAATATTTAATTTCCATGTTAGGCATGTGTAGCAAAAGGGAAAGCATTGGAAACGACAGGCTAGACTTGGATTTAACAATATAGGGATTTCCAGCTGCAATATCAGCGTAAGAAAACCATGCCTCCACTTTGCAGTGTGTTGCCATAACTGTTTGTTGGGCCACCCCCTGAAACAAATCAATGAACTGGCTCGAGGAGAGGAGAGGAGAGGAGAGGAGAGGAGGGGGGGTAATGAGGAAAAACTGATATGCTACAACACAGGGCAGAGATCAGGTCCACGGACTCAGATTTGAACGAAGGCTCGAGGAGAGGAGAGGAGAGGAGAGGAGAGGAGAGGAGAGGAGGAAGGGTAATGAGGAAAAACTGATATGCTACAACACAGGGCAGAGATGAGCAAGCCAGAGATGGGGACTCTTTACATCGGTATTGCTGCCAACGTCCTGTGCATCAAACCAGTGGATAGTGTTCACAAATCCATCGAGCCAGACGTAGCGGTGGTGTTGCTCTCTCTTCAGTTTTAGTTGGAAACCTAGTCTGCTAACACCACTTCTCATGCAAGTGCTCCAAATACCCGAGTACAGGGACTGTTCTGACCTCTCGCTCCCAATGGAAGAACTACAGCTCTGAGAGCCGTGTGAGCTCCACCCCAGAGGTCTGTAGCTGGGTATTAAGTGGGAGATTCAGATTCGAATCCAGTAACACAAGACCGAGTTAATGTGTCTTCCCTCTTCTCACACTGCTGTGGCAGGAGTGGTGGATGGTACAAGGGAGGGAAACCTCATGTTCTGACCTTTTGTGGGGGATGTCTGTGAATCTCATTTTTCATTCCCATGCCCCCTTTTTCCCTAGATTTTGAAAAATTGTTGTAAAATTTAGAAAATATCATCAAAAATATTTCCTAAGATCTAGTTAAGATACCTTTAGATACACATTTTCAGGATGATAATAGGAGAAGTAAAGGAGCTTGTACTCAAGTCCTTGCTGGGAGAGAATTTCAGTCTGTAATGTCTTCCATCACTTTTCATGAAAACTTCCAACATGATTGTTGAGTCTTCAAGGCAGCTGTTACCTAAAGAATAACGTTGGTTTGTGGTTGCATGAGAGTAAACTTGGTAAACCTCATTAAATGTTTCATCTGATGAACTCAATTGCCATGTTATTGCCTCTGCTCAAATGTGAATTTATTTTTAAGCCTGAAAGTGTTCCTCTCTTCTGTTCCTGTTTTCAAACAACACATCAACAAGCTAGATTTTTCTTGTTGAAGAATATGATGTTCATTCTGATAAAAGTCAGAGATACCCCGAAGCATTTCTGGATGGGTCTCAAATGTTACTCAGTATTTGGAGTACTTGGCACAGTTTCAGATTGTTAAAAGAGAAAATATGCAAGATAGCTTAAATAAAAATGGTATCTAGTTTTGGACAGATTACCCAAGCTTTTTCTCCCTTCCCCCATATTTCAGGCATGGGTGCCTGCACAGTAAAGCTAAGCAATACACAACAGCTCAAATCTCCTTGCATGCATGAAGCTCCTGGAAGATGCACTCTTGCCCTGCACTATGAGATCTTGAAATTATTCCTTTTTGTTGCATTTTTCTATAATGGTATTTGAAGTACTTCAGAGTAAGATCATATAGCTTGCTTTTTAGAATCTATAGTGAAGAAAGTCTGCTGAAAATTAGAATTATACTGGTCTGAAAGAGAGATCAGAAATTGCACCATCTAACAAGTCTTAAGGCATGAGACAGAGGGATGTAAAACAGTAGAAGGAAGTTGGATTGAAAAGGACAAGGGTCATAGCGATACAGTTTTGCACTTACTTAGCAAAGGCTTCCAGGTAGCACAGCAGAGCTCTACACATGCACACAGACACAAACACAAATATATGAAGCTATTCCAATATAGGTTCTTCTGGTGAATATTTTAGCAGCATTACACAACCTAGCATTCTGTGGCTCACTGAAGATGCGGCAGGTCTCTTTTGTGGGGCATTGATAATATATATAACACTTTATTACCAAATAAGCAGAATTTTCCTCGTTCTAGATTAATTTCTGTTATTTGTTTATTTTAGTAGTTGTGTCAGGCACTTTGAATTTTTTTTTTCTAATAAAGAAAGACTAGAAAGGTATTTGTGATAGATATGGTGTAGTCCAGCAGTTGAAGTTCATTAATAATTGGAATGTTGCAGAGTATGAAGTAATGAATACTAATTACTCCTTTCATGTCTGACAGCACCCTGTGGACCAATACATCAGCCCAGACTTTAATTTGGTTCTAGTAATGGTTTCATCAATAGTACATTAATTCTGTGTTTGAAAAGATATACAGTTGAACCTGACCCACACAGTAGATACCACTGTCATAAAATGGCCACATACTGACAACAACTGGATAATTACAAATAATTAAATCCACTGAGCTTCAGACAATCCTAATTTTAAGTAAAATATATCTTATCATATCAATCGACAGAAAGCATAGCAAGGGAGATTTATCAACTTGTACTCCTTCCAAAGCAGATTTACTAGCCTGCATATTAGAGAACTTGCTGATCTGTGAAGTAGCTTCATAAAAGTATATCTCCCCATCCCTGTTTACCAAGATTGTTCTTGTGTTGTACTCTTGGATATTCTGTAATGCCAACTTCTGGTATTGTTTCTGAATGAAGCCTGCAAAACAAATTCTCAGCTTCAGAGAACTTCAAATATATGTATAAATTTTAATTTTCCTCAAAATGTGGGTGATTGCAGGGTGAACTACAGGTACTTGTTATCTCTGAAAATCAGACTTCTTGCTTAAGTGCCTCGGTATATATTTAGAAACCTAACAAGTTTTAGGTGTTCAAGTTTGGATTTTTTTTTAAATTTTAATTTTGGAGCTGCAAACCTGCTCAGTGGGTCTTAATACACTTTAGACTGTGACCTTATGTTCAAAATGGCTTTAAAATGCTAAGATTTTTATTAAAATATTTTAGGATTGCTTTAAGAAGAGGGAGAAGAGACAAAAGAGAATAAAATAATTTCCAAAAAATATCAGTTGTAGTACATAGCTTTATGTAAGCATGAAAGGCACAGGAAGAAAAGTAAGTAAAATTTGGGTGCAACTTCTTAGCAATATATGCAAAAATTATTTCAAATGCACGTACCTAGATTTTCTGGAGCAGATAAAGCAAGGCATAAAAGTAAACAGGTACCAATTCTGTACGGTTTTGGGTTTTGGCCCTCGCCTGCTATAAGAGGAGTGATGCTACTGAATAGGTTTGGTATGGATAGGTTTTAATATTTGAGTTTTATCTGTGTGTTTCCTATCCTGTCTCCCCAGCACCACTGTTTTGGAGATCACTGGATATGAGCATTAACTATAATAGATCAATGTCATTTTGACTCATAGGAGAGAAGATAGAGGAATAAATTCATTGTTCATAAGGCCCCTATTTACATTCACATAACTTGTCACACCTGCTCAAATCCTTTGCACGTTCACAAAGTGGTAGTCATGTCTCCTCAGTTGCAAGATTAGGTTATTACAAGATTCTTTAAGATGTCTTGAAATTTGATTTATGTGCAAATGTAGCTTGTATGAACAAGTTTCCATTCTTATGAGGCATGACTATTATTCATGAAACAGCAAGACAATTCACTCAGTTTCTCCACAGGGAGAAGCTTTGCTTGCCTTGAACGTCTTGCCAGCTGTGCAACTTTAAGGCAGTGCCCTTCCCACTGAACTAGTCTGAGCAACTTGCACAGTTTGCCTACTGAGATTGCCTAGTAACAGCTCCATTCTGTGCTTGTTTTCACCTGATTTATTCAACTTCATTCTCTACATTACTTGTTGAAGTTTGCAAGTCGGTTCGAGAAGCTTTTAATTTTAAGCAGCAGGAACTGAAAGAAGGCTCCTTCGTAAAATGTGTTTATCCCTCTTTCTTCACACTGAAATATATTGTTTCCCTTTCCTTTCCTGTCCAAGAATTTATCACTTCTTTTCATTCTTGCTGAGCTGATCCAAAACATTTAGCTACAGGAAACTATCCTACTTTCTGCCATTTAGAGTCATGGCATGTTTTGGAGAATGTCTGCCCTGAAAGGTACTCTTTAATTTTGAGTTGCATGGAAGTATCTGCTAAGAAAAGTTTTTGCATAAACTCTTGAGCCATTTCATGATATGAAGTCATGTTCCTATATTCAAGATTTTTTCATCTTTCAGATCCTGTCTTTGAAAGTCCTAGGCATTGTTTCCTTAGGCAGCACATACACAAGTGAGAAGCAGTTCTTTGTGCCAATAACTCAGATTTTCACAGATCAGACCAGATGTTGCACTATTCCTAGACTTTTAATAGCTGAGAGTTTAGCACTCCTCTTATCTTCTGGGACGTATTTATTTTTATATTTGCCTTTGTTAAAACTCAGTTATTCTTCAAAGTTTATACAGGATTTTAAAAGTGCTTTGCGAACCTCTTTTGAATCCCTTAATCAACTTTATTTCAAGATCTATGAGAATGTCAACAGGAAAGCACTAGTGGAGAACAATCTCTTTTTAAGAGCTAGTGGAGAACAATCTCTTTTTAAGAGCTAGTGGAGAACAATCTCTTTTTAATTTACTTTGTATGTTCCTAAATAACAGGGAGCTGGAGCTCACATGAAAGATGCTCTGTCTATTCCGGGGTAGAACGGTGCATTAGTTCAGTCCGTTCTATCTGCCTCTGCTGGTGGAACAGGAGATTATGAAGAAAAATTTACCAAAAGTAGAACTTGTCTTTAGTAATTTCTTTGGTGATCATTTTTTTGCTATGCCTTCTATCATGGACTTCCATAAATAGTGCCTATATCTGCTGTTTCTTCAGAATCCAGAATTAACCTCTAGACAGATACATTTCATTGAAAAAAATGAAGCAATTCTACTGGGTTTCCCCACCTCTATGTTTATCATTGTTGCTTATACTCCTTGAACTGTGTGAGAGCGATAACAAAACATTTTTTTTTCCCAGATCTGTAATTAACAGAAAACCTAGAATAGCTGCAGTAATAAAACCCACTGAGTCGTTATGTAGTTTTTGCCTTTCACAGATGATAATCACAGAAATTAGTAATTTATTGCTCCTGTGAATTGAGAACCCATAAACTAAGTGCTTGAATTCAGAACTCTGGAGCTTATTATATCGCCACGTAGGTCTGAAATATAGTGTGACTCCTTTAGCAAAGTTTTTTCCACTGACAAAGCAAACTGAAAAAGTTGTCTTTTGTCAGATCTCTGCTTCTATCTTTTGCCTCTGTGTGTGTATTGAAAGTGGAACAAAATTACTCTCTGTGTCAAGCTCTACTGTTTTGTTCCCTCCAGCTGTAGCCAGTTTTGAAGGTTGTGGAGAGACCACAGTATCAGAATTGAAATCCATGTGGCAGAACTGGAAGGTGAATTCTTGTTCACCTGGGAAAGGTTGTATTTTCTGAAGGACGTGATTGTATGGCTAAATTATTTCACTAGCATACAAGCATAAAAACCAGGAAAACTCATCTCCAGTAGTTTGCATGGCAGTAGTATGCAACATACACGTCTGATGTTGAGTTTTGTAGAGTCATGGGTTTCCTAGCACTAGACATACTAGGTTATTTTTAGGAATTCACTTGCAGTGTATCATAAGTGACTGTCTTTTCTTCCTGATCCTTGGTGAAATGCAGAAGTGCTTTCAGCACACCATTTCTTTTAGCCTATGTTTTCCGGCTAAGGGCATGTCAGAAGCAGGCAAGGATATTAAGAGCTGAAATATGTGTCTGTGACTCTGGCAGTGCACTACAATACCCTAGAAAGAAAGCAATGTTAAAATTTGTACAGAAAAGACTTGTTTTATTCATGTTCTGATGTAACTTTAATTAATTGCATTTTATGTGTTTAGTATCTATACTATTGCAATCACTTTGAAGATTGATTTAACTTAACAAATGTCAATTTTAACTTTGTGAAGAGGGTTTGTGTCTACCTGTGTTCCATTGTGTAAACGTTCTACTGAATTTTTTTAAACAGAATTTTGTTACTAATGTTTGGATCTCCTTTCTTGGCAGAGAACATTCAAAGCTATTGCCGTACAGAAGATATTGTACTTGTGCTTCGGTGTGGCAGGTGATGGCTGACAATCAGCATACTGCTCACTGTGCAAGTAAATGACACAAAGTTGTGGCACCTCCTCACACCAGACCAGATGCACAGCACATACGGTAATCTATAAGCGGTCTTTCCACTTTTTTTGGTGCTGTGCCATGGAAGTAGGAAGGTGAACTTCATGTTGCCTTGCTGCTGGGCTCTAAAATGGTACTTCAGCAGTAGTAGTGTTGCTGTATGGGACAGGCTGGCACCTCTTGTTGAAGACAAGGGGTCAGGAAATGGCATCTTTTCAGTACGGGATCTTACTCAGTGAATAAAAGGTGAACCTAGTATAACTCATTCTTTCACCCAGCAAATAATTGATTTGGAACAAAACATTTAGTAGGTTGCCTTAAAAAATGATTTTTGTTATTTCAGTCACCAGCCCTTCTCTCTCCTCTGATCACTATCAGTTTGTTATAAATATATGCATCTGCTTAGTTTTTTAGGATTTACCGCTAAGCTATTTCAAAAAGTGGAAAAGTGAGCTATGTGTAAGAAAATTATTGTAAGAACTAACAGCTATCTCATTAAGCATTGTTTGAAAACTTTCCTAAGTTTGTGGTAAGTAATGAAGATAGACGTTTACCTCTAAGCCACAGACTCTTCAGTACAGCAGTGAATAATCTACTCGAGTCTGCTGTATGAAACTATGCCAATTAAGAAATGCTCTGTGTATTCTTCATATAATTTTGGTGTGTTCAATCATCCTCATTTTGTTTCTTAAGCTGCAAGCACCTAAAGTTTGGTTTGTATCCATTTCTTATGCTGCCAAGATCATGCAGTACCCATCTTTTGCAATCTAAGATAGTTACGGGTTTTTAATTGAGTGAGGTCCCCATTCTTGTGCATTTTATTCCTTCCCAGATATATCAAGATTGAAGACAAGGAATGTGAATTCAACAAGAATTTCTGTCTCATCCTTCACACTAAACTGGCTAACCCTCACTACAAGCCAGAACTGCAGGCTCAGACCACCCTCATTAATTTCACTGTCACCAGGGACGGGCTGGAAGACCAGCTGTTGGCTGAGGTTGTTAGTGCTGAAAGGCCAGACTTAGAAAAACATAAGGTAAAGACTATCTTTTGATCTGTCCGTTGCCCCTTCTGAGATTTTAAGGCTAGCATTAATATGCCTGCTTGAATCTGCTGTACAGTAATTATTAGTAACCCACATATTAGAAAGATTTTAAGGGTCAGATTCTGCAAAGTGTAGAAAGTACTTCTACTGATTTGCTCAAATCCGTGCTCCCAGCAGGCTGGGCTTGACCTAAAGCTCTGCTAGAAATTCGATTTATTGTGATCTTATTCCCACACTTCTCTCTACTGCTTGGTTTGCTCTGTGCATTGCATTTGATTTACAGTGCAGGATTAAAGCCCTCTGCAGTGCTTTGTGCTTCAGTGATCTTGAGCCAATAAGTGTGAATAAAATTTCATGCCAGTCTATAAGAGGATATGATGGCACTGTTAGGACCTGGGGCATTTGGTTAATAAATCATAATTTATTCCTGCAAAGATGCAGTTCTGTGGCTGCTGCAGTCATACCAATGTATAGTAACTTCTGAAGAGAAACACTTTTATAGCTGGTTATAGAAAGGACTTTGAGCAGACTGTGATCTATGAGCTAAAAAAAGAAAAAATACTTAGGGGTGTGAAATGAATAATAAGAATACTTCCTATTTCTCTAGTGTGTCTTTCCAGTTATCTCATGTAATTTACTAACTTCATCCACAAAGATTTGCTACACCTCTGTGAGGTACTGCTGCTTCATGCAAGGGCAAACTGGGTCAGAGAGTTTAATTACCCCTTGAAGAATGAAAGCCATATGCTTGGGAACACGATCTGAAACCAGCTGGCCATTTTCCTCTGCATCTGCACATTGTTCCACGTGGGCCTGTATGCTTACAACACCTGTATCACCTAGGGTTTTTTCGTGCAAGGGTCAGATTCTGATGGAGACCTCCCCATAAGACTAGTCAAGCTCTTTCACTGTCAGAAGGTCGGTCCAGCAGAGCAGACTACGACCATGCTTTCCCACACTGCTTGCTGCCGAAGTGGGGTTCTCCAGCCCTGTGCTCCTGTTGGTTTTCTCAGCTGCCACGTAAATTACCACTTGCCACCTCTGGTGAGATCCCAGTCTTTTTGTGTCGTCTGAGGAGGAAGGAGGCTAGGAGAGAGATAAGTTCTGGTCCGTGGTGACCTTCACCTTTTTGCTTTGAGTGTCCCAGAACCTTAGTTCTAGTGTACAGGGACAGAAGATAAACTGTCTTTTTCAGAAATTTAAATTAAATCAATTGATACAATTAAATAGAAAATATAGCTTACAAATGCTACGAAGCAGTATTTCTTGCTGCGGTTGTTTAAATACAGCATTTTCATTCCCTCTGCTAGTCAATCCTGGCCAAGCAGAAGAACCGTTTCAAGACTGAGCTCAGGCAGCTGGAGGATGACATGCTGCTCAGCCTGTCAGCTGCCCAGGGCAGTTTCTTAGACAACAGTGAACTTGTAGAGAAACTCGAATCAACAAACTCAACTGCAGCAGAAATACAGCGCAAGGTAATAACAGTTAAACTACTTTTAACAGCTTAAATTCACATGTAAAATGTGTATTATTGATTATTTTTAGTGAAATATTTCTATGAGCTAGAAATAGTCCAATTCCTGTCTGTCCGGCAAGTGTTGTCCACCCACATATTCACAGTTTCATATCTGTGGTATGTAGTTGTCACATAACCATTTTTTTCCCCTTCTGATTTAGGTGCTTGAGTTAATACCCGTAAAAGAAGTATCAGCATGAAATGTGAACAAATGTATTCATATACAATTTCCATGTTTTCACAAGCAAACAGGCATATTGCTGCAGAGGACAGTCATTCCCTAATGTTTGTCTAAGATAAAAAGCTTGCTTACCTTAAATATTTGCTACTGTCTGAAATAAAGTCAGTTTTCTAGAGTATATATCTTTTTTGTATGGATAGGAATGTTTTGGTAATTGTGTGGGATAATCATGGTGCATTAAAAAGAAATGAGATAACTGTCATCCTATAGATAGCTGAAGCCAAAGAAAATGAAGCTCAGATTAATGTGACAAGAGAGCATTACAGACCAACAGCCATAAGAGCATCCATTCTTTACTTCGTTAGCAATAGTCTGGGCAACATCAACCACATCTACCAGTTTTCACTGAAGGTATAAATTTAGCTTGCTGATTTGGTTTCAAAGCACAAGAAACAGAGTTCTGCCTCCAGCAGTGATGCCTGATATATTAGTTATTACTTGTACCAGATGTTTACATTTGCAGGGCTGTGTGTCTGAGAAAGGAGAACACAATGTGATCTTCTGCTGGTCCGTAACACGGTACATTCCCACGGGTCTCTTTGTCGGCTGTCTCCATTCTGATGGTGTTTTCTGACTGTGCTTTTACAGTTTACCTTCCTTGTGTTAAGTCATCCCACAAGGTCAGGTAGAAAGAGTTTTGAGGGATTCTGTATAAACAATTCACTGTGGCAAATCTACCAAATGATCTAATGCTACGAGGAAGGGAGATCACTCACTGCAAAATTACCAGCTTGCTTAAGTGAGAGGTTCTGCCTGCTGAGTTAAGTAAGGAATCAGAAGAGTATTGCCATTTGCAGGCCTCACCCCTGGTTTGCTGAAACTTTCCTCAAAATGCTCTTGGCAGAAGTGCCTTGCATTTTAGACTACTTAGGCCAGCTCTTCTTAGAAGCCTACAGTCAGAAACTGATTATCTTGTGTGTAGAAATGCAAACAAACAGAATTCTGAAATTAAATAAATGAAAATAATCGTATTTATTTTCAGGCCTTCAATGCAGTCTTCCACAAAACAATTAAGCAGGCTGAAAAATCAGGGGATATTCAGTGTCGTATCTCTAACCTGACAGAAGCTGTCACATATTCAACCTTTCTTTTCACAAGCCAAGGACTTTTTGAAAAGGATAAAGCTCATTTTCTTAGCCCAGACAGCTTTTCAGGTGAGGAAAAATTTTCAGATCAGTGAGGCTGATATTTACTGAGTTTGCTCTTTCTTCACTAGAAGGTGATGCCTCTGCCCAAAAAAGTTATCTCATTATCTGTGGCTGTGCAGTTTCTCACACAGTGTGACTGCTGCTTCAATATCAATAATAATTGCAAAAATTCCAAAGATTCTTTCCATTTAAAGTTCTGCAATGACTTTATGAAGCTACACTGAGGATAAATAGCATGAGTTAGCTGCTTGTGGGTGGATAATTAGGGTTGAAATTGATGTGGTATGTAAAATATGTATTCACTAAACAGTACATATCCATATTACATTCAGGCTGTTATTTTTCATTTTAATTTTAGTTATCTGTAAGCCCTGGAAAAAATCAGGGCTCCGTTGTACTGGATTTTGCCCTGAAGACCTTGCTCCAGGTTGTATCACAGAGCTGATCAGTAACAGAGGCAGGAATTAAACTAAAAACCAACAATTTGGGAAGAAGGTAAAAAATTATAAATTGAGGAATCCGATTTGGGGGAGGATAGGAAAAAAAAGAAGCACTCCACACAGTTTTTACATAGGAGTTAAAAGCAGACAGAAATGTCTGGAAGAGAAAGGAGAGAAAATGGGGGAAGGAGAACTGGTGATGATTTCTCTGCATCATGGTGCAGATGGATTTATTCATATCACCTTGGTTTTTAGCACTGGGTTGCTTAACTTTTGTCTTTTCTGTAGCAGTGGCACTGGGATGGATCATGAAGAATGGAAATCTGTATGGCAACTGAAAAATAAGCTCTATCGCAATTACAGAGTAGACAGAAACCAGAGTAAAGGGCACAATAAACTTTTGATTTATTAAATACATTTTTAGAGGGAAAGTTTTTTTAATAGAAGAAGAAAGATGTATTTATATCAGAAAGGAGAGAGAATATACAGTATCACAGCAAAGGTGTCTCTCTTTCCCACTCTATGAGGTTAAAGTGATAAAAGAACTAGAAAAACCCTTCATAGAACCTGAGGAGTTTTCTTCAGTATACATTCAGCTCATGTGCCAGAACTGATTCAGTGTAAAACAGCCCCCCAAAAACCAACAACAAAAACCACCCAGGATTTGCAGTTTTCCCAAAGCTTTGTGTCAGCTTGCAGTCTGAAGAGGTGCTAGAATGGTGATGGAAACAGCTATGCACTGTTTGTTATTCTCTCTCTCTATCAAGAGATAGAAAGGATACATAGAGATAATTAGATGGGATTCAGAAATCTGTACCTTTTCAGTAGTATTCGTAAAAAATAATTTGTGGCCAAGTTTATGTAAGCTTAACTTCAGTGTGCAAGACTTACAGTTCTATGTTTGTTTATGTTCCCACAGGCTAAAGTAAAATAACTGCTGTTGTTGATTAGCTCACCTTAAAATTTGAGTGAATTTGTCTTTCAGTACATAAATGAACAGCAGTTACATTTTCTGCAAAAAGCTTTGACTGGTTGTGTTTGGGTTTCATGGTGTCTTTTTTAACAGGTAAAGGAAAGTTCAGCTCTGTGTGTGTGTAGGACTGGTTTTGAAAAAATTTGTCACACCCTTTAGTGACTAATATCTAAGAATCATTCCATTTGCAATAGATTTCAAATCAGTATTTTAAAATATCGTTAAAACAAGAAGTAAATTCTTATATCAGAGTTTTAGAAAATGGCCTTCAGAAAAGCCATAGGAATTTTTGTTGCTTTGAGCTCCCTACTCAGTAATACTTTGAGCGGTGAATACTTTAAGGCAGAAGTGGCTCTGAAGCAAGCCTGACGACCTTTTTCAATTTTGTGTGCTGTCAAGATTCTTCTAAGAAGTAAAGAGATAGAACTCCTTGAATTGGAGTTCCTCGTTTGATTCAGAGTTGAACACACTTACGAGAGTCCTGTTGACTTCTTAACTACTCAATCATGGAGTGCCATTAGGGTAGGTTGGGAAAATTGCTTTCCCGTTCTAAATCTTTTCTGACGTTATTTCTGGAGGCATGCTACAGCTAGACAATTTCAGATAAAGTCATACATTCCACCATAGTTTTTAGTAGAACTAGTGATGCTTTCAAAGAGGAGTTGTCTTTGCTTTTTGTATTTTTCCTTAGACATCACGTACTGTGCTTTGTGAGGAAATTCTGTTTTACTATAATTTGTCCAGTCCCCTAGAAATATAATTTTGATCTTCATACCACTCCTTACTATAGTAAATGTCCCGTACAAGGTTTCCAGTTTTGATATTTAACAGTCAGGAAACAGTATGGCAATACTGACCAAAGTAAACTCTTATAAATAATATTATCCATATATGTAATTTGGTATTTTAAGGTAAGTCCTGAGTCCCTTGTAATTGGTTAAGCTATGTTTTTTTACATGCCCCAAAAGTATCAGTATTTGCCTTCCCGTTTCAGTCTTCACGCAGAAGGTACATCACCTATAAGTATGTCTTTGGCATGTTTCCAGGCTATGGCAGTGATGGATGTGTTCAGGGGGTTAGACAAAGATATTGAAGGATCCACCAAGAGGTGGAAGAAATGGGTGGACTCAGAATGTCCAGAAAAGGAAAAGCTCCCCCAGGAATGGACAAAAAAAAAAAATCTCTTTTCAGAAATTAATCATACTGAGGGTGCTCCGTCCTGACAGAATGATGTACGCTCTTAAGTATGAAGTCTGAGGGTACATCTTTCAGGGCAAGTGTGTGTGAAGGTGGCTTGTATGTGTCGGCGTGGAGAAAACTCAGCTCTTAGGAGGCAGGCAAATAACTTATAAACTAGGCGATCAACCAGAATTTTAAATCAATGACTGTGGCCCTTCCAAGTCTGTTCTGCTGGTGAAGAATTTATGAAGAAGGAGTGTGGTGAGACATGAGAGAGCTATGTTTGTGGTTTCTTTTAGATTGCATATAGGTGCCTTGAGGAGAGTGCTCATTAATAAATGGAAATATAGTAAGCTATGGTGTTAATAGCTAAAAGTGTATTTCTCAGTGTTAGTTCTCATTATGGTATTAGGGCTCATAGCTAACCCCACAGGATGACAATTTTTCAGGTCTCCCTTCTTTAAAATTCTGTGATACCAAGAAAGATTCAGTTGTGGATACTTACCAATCTTCTCCCAGCTGTTTTCCACCTGTTTTACTGTTTTAATCTTCTGATCCTAAGTGATGGTCTCATAGACCCGATCCTCCACACCCCACCATCACAGCTTTTACCCATTTACATGACTTCTGAGAATGCGGTTTTTTGTGTCCTGGGTGTTTATTCTGCCCAGCTGTCCTGACTTTACGTGACAGTATTGCCTGCATATAATGACTTCTTGGATTCAATTATTGAAGAGGTCCTTTTCATTCAAAAGTTGCTGTTTTCTGTCACGTGGCCCCTATCCCACAGAGAAATGGGAACGATCATCTTCTGTCTTGCTTCACCACCTGCCTCCCCTTCTTACCTTCAGTTCACTTCCCCGACAATTTCTTTGATGAAGCGACCGTTAGACCATTGCTGTCAGCCACTCAAGTCTGCAAATGGTGCAGGCTTGAAGTCTGTGTGTCGTGGTTTAACCTCAGTTGGCAACTAAGCACCACGCAGCCGCTCGCTCACC